TGCCGAAAGATTAAAATAATTGGGCCTGTTTAGTCTAGAGAAGAGGAGGCTGAGGGCGGACCTGAGAACAGTCTTTAAACATGTTCTGGGCAGGGGAGATTGAGGTCAGGTGTCAGGAGAAACTTCCTAATGCTCCGGGGCGTTCAGCTCTGGACTCTGCTTCCAGGCAGGTTGTGGGATCCCCGTCGGTGGAGGGTTTTAAGACCAGGTTCGAGAAATGCCTGCCGGGGATGGTCTGGGGTTACTTGGTTCTGCGGCAGTGCGGGCGGCTGGCTGCCTCGCGAGGTCTCTGGATCCTTTCCACCCAGCCCTCATGTCGACGTCATTCACGTGGTTCCTTTACCTGCCAGAGCTCTGTGAAGTGACCTTATTATTATTATACCAGAGCCTCAAGCGCCGTGTTTTATTTTACATCTCATCACGTCACATCCAGCTAATCAATAAATAGAGCCTAGATCCGGGTGCCTGGAAGGGTTAACAAGGTTAGGGGGAGGTTTCTGGGCAGAATTAAGTGCTGGTTAGAGAGTTTTGACCTTGTTAGTCGGGGCTTTTTATTTATTTCTTTTGCTATCATCAGGCAAATATCTGTACAAAAATGACACCAAAAATAAATGACGATTTGTTATAAATTTCCCCCAGGACAGCTGGTGCTGATGGATCATAGAATTCCAGGGGGTCGGACCCAGAACGTGAGCACCTGTTTATCCCAGTGGGAAACAAAGATTACAGCTGTGGGGGTTTTTGGGCTCCTGATATACATCAGAGCCACCCAGAGATTTCCCCTCAGAAGAACGATGTCAATTGGACGGAAGAACGATGTCAATTAGACGTGTGATTTTCTACTGGTCTAGTTATCCCAGTAGGACAGGGCTGATCTGCCTATACCAGCACAGCTGTGGGGGCCGTTATCCCAGTAGGACAGGGCTTTATCTCAGTACAGTGTATTCCCCTTCCTGGCTGGGGATGGCTGTGCTGGTCTAAGCAGCTGTATACCATAGACAAGTCTTTACGCAGCAGAAAAACGATGTTGTGCCTTCGGCACGTGGAAAGACAGATTGGGGGAATTAGTACAAGGCCTGGATGGGTTTAGGGAGGATCCGGGCCTGTTTTATACAGGGTCCGCCAGGGCTATCTAGGCAGGTACTTGCATGGGTCCTATAGAGATAGCTCAACGGGGTAATTAACGATTCAACAGGGCTTTGGTTGAGCCTCCCAATCGGTGCCAAATTTAGCCACACAAAAGCCTGGGGTGGGAGGGAATTATGAGCCACATTGTGCACAGGAGAAATTAAGAGATTGTGGGGAAACTGAGGCACACAGAGAGGTTAGGACATACCTCAAGGTAGCACAAAATCTGTAGCATAGGTGGGATTTAAACCGCAGGTCTCCTGGGTCCCAGTGCAGGGCCAGACCCACATAACCAACCATAGGGCTGTCAAAGAAGGGGCATGAGGATATGAGGCGCTGCCCAGACACACAGTAAGAGACAGTCCCTGCCATAGCTGAGATCAGGGCCCTATTGCCCCAGAAGTTGCCCAGACACACAGCAAGAGACAGCCCCTCTCCCAGCTGCATTCAGTCGGAGGTCCTGATTGCAGTGGGTGGGGCTTCCATGGCAGGGGCCGTGTCCTGCCATTAGTGGGCGGGGCAGGACCTGCACTCTGCATGGGGTTGATCCCGGTAGGCGGGGTTTCCGTGGCGGGGGCGTGCCTGGTGATTTGGGGGCACAGACAGGTCCTGATTCCGGCAAGCGTGGTTTCCGTGGCAGAGGGCGGGTCACTGTGGGGGGCAGGGGGCGCTCACTTGACGCGGATCTCTGCGTACTCCGCCAGCTCCTCCGTCAGGGTGTAGCTGTCCTTGGTGGGCAGTTTGGTGAAGTCGATGTTGGCGTAGTCCACGTTCAGGTCCAGGGAGCCCTCGGGCTTGTTCAGGAGGCGTTTGTCGGAGGCCAGGCGCCGCTCGTACTGCGGGGGAAGCAGAGCAGCGTCAACCTGGGTATGATTGGCGTGTTCACCCGTGGGACTCCCTGACACTGGAGAGTATATGGCTAGCCTGCGGGACTCCCTGCCACTGGATATTACAGGGTTAACCTGTGGGATTCCTTGGCAATGTATATTATAGGATAAACCTGTGGGACTCCCTGATGGTGAAAATTATAGGCTTACCTGTGAGGCTTCCTGAGCCTGGATATGATAGGGTTACCTGTGGGACTCCCTGACACTGGATATTAACCCCAGGAGTCCCTCCTACTGGGTATTATATTGTTAACTCACAGGACTCCCTCCCCCTGGATATTATGGAATTAACACATGGGGCTCTCTGCCACTGGATATTATAGGATTAACTCACAGGACACCCTGCCACTGGGTTTTAGTGGGGTTAACCATTGGGACTCCCTGCCACTGGATACTAGGGGCTCAACCTATTGGATTTGCTTCAGGAGGATACCATTGGGGTTAGCCGATCCAATAATACCGTAGTTTACCTAGGAAATTCACTGCCACTTGATCTTACTGGGATTACCCAGCGGGACCTTATTGGCGTTAACCTGGGGAACTAATGGCTGCAGGATCCTTTCCAAAGGATGCATTCCTAATCAGAGCTCTGTTGGGCAGGGAGTGCCAGGGGTGCGAGGACTGTCCCATGGGGGGGGTCTGTTAAGATTTTACGCCACAAAGAGACTAGACCACGGAACGAGCAGAGGGGGAAGGGAAAACACCACAACACTGCAAGGGACCTTGCTGCCAGGACAAGGGGCTGCCGGTATTCCAGGAAGACCCCCATGCCCTGCCCCACAGCTGACCTGTGAGAGCTACCCAAGCAACAGGATAGAAACCAGAACTGGCGCCCCCTAGAGGGGAAAGGCCCCATGCCCTATTCCCCACCACCATGAGCCCAACAGTCCCCAGCTCTCGGGCCAGATCAGAACCAGCGCCCCCTAGGGGAAAGGTCCTGTGTCCCAGCCAATCCGCTGCATGACTGTGGGGTGCAGAGGGGGTCCCCGTGTCCGAGCCAAGGTGTGACGCACACTGGTGGGGGGTGACACAGACTGGGGAATCCAGACTTACCCGGGGGTCAGTGGCTCTCCAGGGAGCAGATCTCCTTAGACTAGCGGAGAAGGAAGAGCTGTCACTGTGTACCTGGGGGGACGACCCCTTGCTGCCGCCCCATATGGAAGAGGCCTCTGGGGAGCACCTCCGAAGCCGCAGCTTTACGGACTGGGTCTGGGATGCAAAGGGATGGAAGAATCCCTTCCCCCACCCCCATGCACCAGCCTGGGGCAGGATCATAGGAACATAAGAACGGCCAGACTGGGTCAGACCAAAGGTCCATCTAGCCCAGTGTCCTGTCTGCCGACAGTGGCCAATGACAGGTGCCCCGGAGGGAATGAACAGAACAGGGAATCATCAAGTGATCCATCCCCTGTCGCCCATTCCCAGCTTCTGGCAAACAGAGGCTAAGGACACCATCCCTGCCCAGCCTGACTAACAGCCATTGATGGACCTATCCTCCATGAACTTATCTAGTTCCCCAAGAGAGGAAAGGCCCCCACGTCCCATTCCCCGCCCCCCTGAACCAGCCAGTCTGGGCTAGATTTTCTCTCCGGTTATTGACACTAAATAGTGACTGACAACATAGAGGACTCAACTTTATCTAAACTACCCATCCCCATCCACCCCACTCCACTTATCCACATCCCCTCCCTCCATCCATCCACCCCTATACACACCCCTCCCTCCATCCATCCATCCCCATCCACACCTCTTCACTTATCCACCCCTATACACATTCCCTCCCTCCCTTCATCCATCCACCCATTGATCCCCATCCACACCTCTCCATACCTCTCCATCCATCCATCCACTCCTATACACAGTCCTCCACTTATCCACCACTATACACACCCATCCCTCCATCCACCTCATACACACCCCTCCATCCATCCATCCATCCAT